TTTTTTCCCTTTTATGAAAAAAAAATCCATAAGGGGTTTCCAGTCAGCCACATATGTAGATATTGTGGCTGACTGGAAACCCCTTATAGATTTTAATAATAATCTTGCTGCAGTTGTCATACATAAACATAAAGTTCCATGATTTATTTTAGTTGCTTATTCATTAATCCCCAAGTAAAAGCCCATTGGTTTCAATTGTACCTCAGACTTCAAAATCCTCTGAATTTATGTATTTGTATCCACTTCTTAAAAACTTTTTTACATGTCCATCAGACATAATAAAAATGTCTCTTCATATTGTTCACATTTCCAGCAAACATTTGAAGTATCTTTATAGAGAGAGAGCCGTGGTGGCGCAGTGGTTAGAATGCAGTATTGCAGGCTGACTCTGCTGACTGCCAGTAGTTCGATCCAGACCAGCTCAAGGTTGACTCAGCCTTTTATCCTTCTGAGATTGGTAAAATGAGGAACCAGATTGTTGGGGGCAAATATGTTGACTCTGTAAACCCCTTAGAGAGGACTGTAAAGCACTATGAAGTGGTATATAAGTCTAAGTGCTATAGTGCTGTACATTCTAGACCAGTGGTCTCCAACCTTTGCAGCTTGGTGGCAGCTTGGCAGAGGTGGCAGCGGGGGGTGAGGGTGGGGGGTGAGGGTGGAGAGGGGATGGTTTTGTGTGTGTGCGTGCATACTTCCATGGCCCCATTCCGAATGGGGTGCGGCCCACCATTGGGCCATGGAACAGGGGTTGTGGACCCTTATTCTAGACAATTTCTCTGGTGGCAAAAGCCAATGATACATCATTTTATAAAAATTCTCTTTTTGAGACTAGAACAAAATGTAAATTTCAGTCTTTTCAACCACACATTTCCCATTGATCCATCTGCATATTAGTACAAAATTTTTAGCCCATTTTTTATACATTCTTTATTTCATTCTTCTGACATATCTCAAAAATTTATACATTTAGCAATAACATGTTCATCATTAGTACATAACTCTTATTTTGTTAAAAACTCCAAATCATTTATCCACGTTGAACTTTTCCTTCTATTGTACATAAGAAATCTATTAACAAGTGTATCCTTTTTTATCAAATGTTCTCTTGATTTCATTTTATAATTTCCTTGAGATAATACTAATACATCAAGGAACAAAAACACATTTCCAATCTTTCGTTTTATTGAATCCTGTGGGCTTCCATCCCAATGCAGAATGCTTAATAGTAGTAGTAGTAGTAGTAGTAGTAGTAGTAGTAGTAGTAGTAGTAGTAGTAGTAATAATAATAATAATAATAATAATAATAATAATAATAATAATAATAATAATAATAATAATAATAATAATAATAATAATAATATTAGAGACCTAATGCTAAAAATAGCAAACTTTATATTTATATTTTAATCTATTAATATTGCTTATAATTAATTATTGCCAAGGCTAATATTAATGATTTTTAATAAAGCAAGATCAAGGTTTGTGTTCTATTAAATCTTAATAAATCATATAATAATCTGTACTTGATAGCTTTTATTAATTGGAAATAATTTTCTATATCAGGTTAAATATTGCTGAACATCTTTGCCAAGTGTTTGTCAGGATGATTTATAAATACTTTACAGATGAATTCTGTGTGTTTGATACAAATGTAGCATCATATACTGTATATGTGGAATAGGTCATAAAACTCACTGATTTGTATATGTTGAATCTATAATTAGTTAAATAAGATATTTGTTTAAGTGAGAATGTAAGAGAATAGAACTTTTAGTTATTCTTTACTGGACTTGTCTCTCTGCATTTGAAATGTAAGGAAATGTAACAGAACAACACATGCAATGTTCAGAACAACACAGCTTGCATAAATCTTTCAGCATTAAAAAAATAGAATTTTGCTTTTGTGAGAATGCCTCAGTTTTGGCAATGATTTAAAAAGTTTTCAGTTATAGAGAAGTTGAACAAATTTTTCAGCAATATGATGGTCCTTGAAGTTCTGTCCCACCTAATCAGTTTTTCAAGGAATTGATGCAGATAAAAAGGGTAGGTTATTTCCCTAGATAATAATGTACTGAAAACAACCCAAAAGTGAACTGGATGACAAAATGTTTTTCTGTCCTTTCTGATTGCAAACAATGGGAATTGAGCTATTTTTATCAGCTAGTTTGACCTGCCTGGCTAACAATAGGTTACGTATCGACTAAGTCATGTTAAAATAAATAGTGTAAGTTAATTATTAGCAAGCCAAGCCTCAGCAATTTGCATGTAATTAAAGCATAGCTTATTAGTCATCCAATCCAGGGATTGAACTGAATGTAGAAGTGAGAACCCAAATTCTCATAAAGGTCCAGTTTGCAACATATGCAAAAGAAATGATAGAGAATGGACTGGATCTGTTTGCAAAAGGGAAGTGAATGATTTGCAGTTCCAGAAACAGCCTGCACATCTAGGAACCCAAATATTTCATGGACAATATTAGAAGGTGGGGGGGGGGGGGAACCAAGGCAGCAATAGAAGACTATAGAGACAAAGACATAAGGCATTAGATGCTTTGAAAATACTTGAATTGCACAGTAAATGAAAAATTAAATTGTTTTAAATTACTTATTTTAAAGATAGTCAAGTTTCTGCTATGAGATCAAAAGCACTCTTCTGCAAACTAATTAGCTGAAGCTGTTTAGATCAGTGTCTGAAGGGANCCAAGGCAGCAATAGAAGACTATAGAGACAAAGACATAAGGCATTAGATGCTTTGAAAATACTTGAATTGCACAGTAAATGAAAAATTAAATTGTTTTAAATTACTTATTTTAAAGATAGTCAAGTTTCTGCTATGAGATCAAAAGCACTCTTCTGCAAACTAATTAGCTGAAGCTGTTTAGATCAGTGTCTGAAGGGAGTGTTTTTCCCAGTTTTGGAAATTAAATTCAGTTAATGTGTATGAAATTCACTTGGGTACATTATGATCTTGCATGTTGGAAACTGACCAAAGAGAGAAGCAACCTGGAATTAAGGAGAAACTTCCTAACGGTGAGGACAATTAACTAGTGGAACAGCTTGTCTTCAGAAATCGTGGGCGCTCCATCACTAGAGGGTTTTAAGAAGAGACTAGATAGTCATATGTCTGAATGGTATAGGTTCTCCTGCTTGAGCAGAGGGCTGGACTAGAAGACCTCCAAGGTCCCTTCCAGCTCTATTCTATTCTTGAAAATGTGTGAATTTGTATTAAAAATACTGAACTAGGTCACCCACCTGGTTTAAGCTGTAGTATACATAAGCAATTTCGTTATACTTTTAAGAAAAAGCACTCTGAAATTTAACCTAGAAATGTTTTAATATTGACTGTTCACTCATAAAAGCATAATTTAAACATTTGGATGATGCAAAGGTTACTTTTGCACAATACTGGTGATTCACTCCAGATTAAAATGCAACTAGCAGACTGGGCTCTTCATACATAACGCTGAGCTTGAAGTGATTAATCACCAAGTTCTCTGGAAATAAACAGAAGCCGTTTATTTGTTGCAAAAGAGGATGTTTGCATCTGTAAAATAGCAGCATTTGCCAAAATGGGGACTTGGTTTAAAACTCCGTTCAGCTCCTGAGAACTATTTGCACCCAATAGACTTGCTGTGGCCGGCAGCTCTCCTTTCGCCCATGTAGGAGTTGGTTGCTGAGTTCTCACCCCAGGAGGAGCACATGCTGTGCTTGCAACTTTTGCTTTGTTTTGCAGCCCCTCGCAGCTTACCTCCTCAAAACACGCTCCACCTTCTTTGGTCTGCCCTTGCCACAGAGGTTTTGGGACAGGCACGTGGAAGCTGCTTCTGACATTGGCAAATGGCAGGTGGGGAATTGAAATGCCAAGAGAACACGAACACAAAGGGCTTCATTGGAGCAAATCAATTTATCTCTGTTCAATGAGAATTATGTTTCTCCAGGGCACGTCTCTTCATTGAGGCAAATCTAAATCACTTGCGGAGGGTTAATTCATAATATACAGCGGTGTTAAACAAATGATTTGGTTTATTTCCCATATTTTCCTCTGCATTGTGAAAAAAAGAGGAGGGGGAAAAAAACTTTACTACTTTTTCTTAGATCTTTCATCTGGATTTTTTTTTTTTAAAGGATGTGAACATTTGAGCAAACGTTTCTGGAAGTTATCTTTTATATTAGTCTTAGTCTGCCCATGTATGCTTTGTCTCTAATAAGAATCAGCAATGCTTCAGCAGGTTGAGATAAATCCATTCCTGGTGCTTCTGCACTGTATTCTTCAGGCTTACCACTGTGAAGTCCTACTGGTAGAGCAGATTTTTGCCTAGAGCACACCTTTGTACCAGCAGTACATTTTCCACAAATACAAGAGAAGCAATGAAATGTCTGTGAGTCGAATGGACTTAGCAGGTGCTGTCGTATTAGATTATTTCATAAGAAATTGATTGCACATCTGAAAGAAGAGCCATCTCTTGCTTCGTAGTTGATACAGATAAAAATCTGGTCTAGTTATTCCTTGTCTGTATTATATGGTTTATTTTCAATGGCTTGGTCACTTTCTTGTTTCTTCAGTTGCAAACTATGCCATTCAGAGGTAAAATAGAGAAAGTGCAGTATACTGGTTTTCCATCTGTGTCAAAATTCCTTGATCGTTTGAGATGAATTAAAATAGCAAATTTTCCATTTTAAAACAGAAATGTTTTCTTTTTCCAGCAGGGACTAGTTCTAAACTTCTAGAACCCATTATAGTTGTTCAGTGTAATCAGTATATTCCAAAATATTATGTGTATTGATTACAGTTCTTATTAATTTCAGAAATAATGGATACTAGCCCCTCTGTTGCTTTAAGAAGAGTAGAACTTGACCAATTTTCTTTAGTTCTCTGCATCCTTAAGTACAAGTTGTGCTTTTGTTCTATTGATTATTAAAACTAAACAAGAAAATTTCACCTGAAACTGTTCTTTATTGTTTTATAGGTTAATTCTCTTAAAGCTTCCAGGCTAAGGCTTGGACCAACCAGCCACCACCATTGAGCCCAGCAGCTGGAGCGGCAGCGAGAGTCCTGCCGAGGACATTGAAAGAATGAGTGATTCTGCAGATAAACCTATTGACAATGACGCAGAAGGGGTCTGGAGTCCAGATATTGAGCAGAGCTTTCAAGAGGCTCTGGCTATATATCCCCCTTGTGGGAGGAGGAAGATCATATTGTCTGACGAAGGCAAAATGTATGGTAAGTCATTACAAACCCAGACAGTTTTGAAAACAGTGCCTGAAGCTTCTTGTGTAGAGAGATGCGAGACACTTCAAAAGCGTTGGGCGTTCACAGGAGTGTTCCTGAAATCAGAGGTCTTGTCTGTTGTTCATATCGGAACCTAAATGGCTCATTTGTGGCGGATCTACTGTACATGTACTCCAAAATCCCAGCTATTTTACTGCAGGGAAGTTGCTTTTTTAACAAATGAATTATGGTAACAAGGACAGCCTGCTGTTGATCATTCATGACTGTTGCATTGTTCAATTTCCCCCACTTCTTATTCCTCTGCAATTAGATTAAAAAAAACAACCTGCTGAACTGTGTGTTGTGTAGTGATAAGTAGAAAGTTTGCATTAGTTCTGAAGTCTTCCACAAAACTTTTAAACATATTCCAAGAGTGTAACATGATTAAGGCAAGCAAGAAAGTAAGCAGTATTCATACTTACTAAATATGGAAAGCACTTTTTACAACTTAGTGTCTGGCAATACATATCACAAAGAACAAAGGAGGTAGATAAAACCCCTTTTCTACTTTTAGTTTATGGTGAAGTTCTCTATCACTATCACAGTGAGTGACTTGCAAAGTCTTCCCTTCCAGCTGGGGCTCCCATAAATTATCAGAAGTGCTGACAGTATTCATAAATATATTTGAAGTTTTTTTTCCATCTAGGGCTAAGTTGTTAGTTTTCGTTTTTTTTTCCAAGTTGCTAATCTCTATCTTTGAAGGCTTAAGCTCCTTTTCTCCTCCCTTTCTCTCCCCCCCCTTTTCCCCCCAAAAAATTATTGCTGACTGTAGTTTTTCAATCCTGGCATTGTGGCAAGCAGATGGCAGGTTATGGCACCGGTCTTGTTTCTCTCGTAAGCGTGGCGTGTTCAGCAATTTTGTCTTTTGTGTGGTAGGCTCCTTTCCTGTGATCAGAAATCCTCACCTGACGTGCCTCCGTTTCTGACCATTTAGTGGAAAAACTCACTCCTCCACAATCTGCAAATATCTTTTTTTTTTTTTGCACAATGGGGTGTTTTGTGTTGAGATGCAGGCGTGCTTCCCCAGAAGAGGTTCAGTAGGAATCTGCCAAGCAAACTAAAGCAGATGGTACTGCAGCTGCCACCAGCTGTGAATCTCTCCCTTCTCCCCCAGGACTGATTTGGATGATGTAATGGAAAAAAAGGGGGAACATTCTTTCTGAGGGGTTGGAGACTCTCATAGCCTGCCAGTGTCACCGAGAGGCAGAAACAGACTTTAAGGCATTAGTTTGCAGCTGTCATGTGACCCTTGAAGCCACATGAAACATAATGTCTGGAAAATAGGCTGGTGATGAAGCATCTCAGCTGCTGTTGGCAGAAACTTTCTAGACCCGCTCTTTCCCCTGCTTGATTGGTTTTTCTCCCTTCCCCTCCCTTCCCAGTTTATATCAAGCACTAGAGGTTTTTCCCGCCTCCTTTGGCTTCCTTGGATACAGTTCTACCTTTTTTTTTTTTTTTTTTTCGTTTTGAGTATTTTGTACTGGGGATTTCTGATAATTAGGGAACATTATTTTCCACTTCCCAAAGAAGCCCAGAGATAAGTATGTACAAAAGTGTGCATGTATAATTAAAGCAATGTTCAGTGCCTGGCTGTTACAAACTGACTTTTAGAAATATTTCTTTTATACAGTAATGTCTTTGATGGATTAGTGATACATGCAGAATTATTTTCTTAGTTTTCTGAGCACGGGCATACAAAGCATTTCCCCCTTTGCTACCATTTTTACTAGCACTTGGACCAGGAAACAGTTCTTGAAAATAAACAATGAAAGAAAAACCCACTGAAATAATAATAATAATAAAAAAAGATATGGAAGACAGCTGCAGATGGGTGCTGTGTGATAGTGATTGTCCTTTTAATCTAGAGCTAATATGATTTCTAAAAGGCATTCTTACTATCTGATATGTCATTTTATGATGTCTGAAATATGTATCCAGGTTGTAGTGAATTTTGATTTTTTTTAAGATAGTACAAATCTTCTAGGAAAGTAAAAATAATTATGTTACTAGAAAGTATATCCTCTTTTTCACTGGATAAATTTATTTAAAGTAGTTGGAGAATTTGAGAATTTACAGTTTTATAACAGAGTCTTACTGTTCTAATAATAAAACATTTTTATTTTTATTTAAATATAACCTTAATAAGACTTTTAATATAAATATATTGTATTTATTCCAGGTGCCATATGGAATAATAGTAATAAATAAGATAGTTTTGGATAGCCTATTATATTTATGGAAGAGATATGACAGTATTTAACATTTTCAGAGTCATAATTTTACAGTTGCAGATGAACTATTTAAAAAATCTTCCCAGTAAATGTTTTTAATTGAAACTGTGTTTGAGTGACTTACAGTCTGTAGCAAATTGTGAAGGATTAGGTAACATTTGGTTCTCCCATTGCCTGTTAGTGTGTGTTAATTTTGGAGAGAGAAGAACTCTAGAAAACTTTGGCTGGTCCTGGTGGAGTTGAGGATATTCCTATAAATATTTGAATGACATTGCATAGGACTTCACTCTGGGTTCTGTGTTGTTTAATATATTTATAAATATCTCTGATGATGAATTGGGAAACATGATTATCACAGTTGGCCACAATATAAAAATGAACCAATAATAAACAACAGTATCAATATTCAGAGGAATCTTGACATTAAGAAACTGGAGGGCATCAGAGTAGAGATGAGAAAAAAACTTGGAAGGGAATATGAATGTGGAATGGTTGGAGGCACTAAATGACTATGAAAATTCTCAATCATCCAGGTTATAGTTGTCCCAAAGATGCTTTTTCCAAAAGGCAACTGGACATTTTTGGTTTTTCCTTTGAAAACATTTCGCTTCTCATCTAAAGAGCTTCTTGGATGTTTTCCAAACATCCCAAACATTTCCAAAATGTTTTCAAATTAAAAAACCCAAGAAAATCCAGTTGCCTTTTGGGGAAAAAAAAACATCTTTGGGATTGGGGGCACTAAATAAGTTTAGCCTGGAGAAGATATAACAGAGGGATCATGGTGCAGGTAGACTTTGGACAGGTAACTCCATTACTTAGTGATGCAGTTATGAACTGCAATATCATGTTACTGTTCCAACTTATGCAGCAGTTCTCCAGTTCCAGTTGTAGTTGTTAAGCATAGCGATCACCATTTGTTACCTCCTTCCAGGTTTCCTTTTGACTTTGTTTATCTCCTCCAGAGCTGAAAACCTTCCCTATCAAAATTTAAGCCTCAGAGAGAGAGGAAAGAGTTGTCTGCAGCAACCCCATCCCCAATTTGTACATGGCCTGCAAGGGGTCTTGATTGTCTCAAGGTTGCTTTTTCAAAAGGCAACTGGACCATGTTTTTTCCTTGAGGAAGAAGATGTCAGAAGCTTCATCAGTTCTGACTGGATGGTGGGAAGGATGGAACCAATCCTTCCATCTCTCTACACCTACCATCCAGTAAGAACTGATGAAGCTTCTTGGATGAGAAGCAAAACATCTTCTTCCTCAAGGAAAAAACATGGTCCAGTTGCCTTTTGCAAAAGTGCTTTTGAGACTTGCTAGCTTTGTATCATCATGAGATCTGGACAACATGCAGACCTCTAGCACTTTGTTAAAAAAGTCAATACATTCACTGCTCCCCCCCCCCCGGCAGAGAGGATGCACTGCTAAGTGCTTGTATACCCCCCCAAAAAATGATTGGGATGCAAGGTATACATTTGCAGCCCGCAATTATTTTTAATTTGTCAACTTGTATGGAGGAAAGGTTTGTCATTTTTCCTCTATACAAGTTGTGCAGGCCTCCTCTACAGTATTGTTTCATTTGGGAAACCTGATACAATAAGGAGTGGAGTAGAGAAAATGTTTACAATATAATCATTTTAGCTTTTAGTATTCATGGGATTTTGGACCAATGCAATGTAGTTTGTCTATGTGTGCTTTTGAGTCAATCTTGACAATTGTGTGGACAAGTCCCTGCAGTTTTGTTAGCGGGATTTTTGGAAGTGATTTGCAAAGATTGGCTTCTTCTTTGGACTGAGAGGAAGTGATGGAACTCTGTTTCCTGGTTGCTATTCTGATACCTTATACCACTACACCAAACTTCCTCTCTGTAGCTCCACATCTGCCCTGGGGAGAGGAAATAAATACATGGAAAAGTCCCATGTACAACTTCTCCTTCTCATGTTAAATGCACAAATGGAAGTGTGTCAAAGACCGATTTTGGTAGATTGCAGTAATACCATGTTATATTTGAAGGATTGGCTCAGAATCTGTTTCCCCAGCCTTCGTGAGTTGATATTCTTGACAGTTTTTGGGTCTGTTCATAACTGTAAAGTATTCTGCTCATTTGTAGTGTCAGAGGGCAGATCTACCATGAGGTCACAATATCATGGCAGGCTGAGAACGGTGGTCCCACCTTATTGTGTCACAAACTGATTTACATATTGTAATGTATGCATAGGATTTTTGATTGGAGAAATGTGATTCAGATTTCAACATGGGAGTCAAAAGATAAATGTATTATCATTCCCTAAAATGACTCGTGTAGATAATGTAAGAAAGCAATTTGTAGATTGTAAAAGTAATTTCCCTCAGATTTGTCTGTGGTGAATTCCAATTGAAAGTAGAGACTGCTGACACAGTATGCTTTCCTCACCTGCTCAAACTCATCTGGTGCTGGTATCTGATATTTTTCATATTTTCTTTAAAAGGTGTGGCTTAGACCTCTACTTCTGAGGCAAAAGAGTAAATGGTGCATTTTTTCCATATTGTTATCCTTTGGAGCTGTATATGTATACTGAGACAAAACTGATCTTTGAATACTAGCAATTCACATGTAATGAATAAATGCAATTCACAATTTAAGAAAAGAATAACAGCTGTTTGTAAATAGAGCAATTAATAGAACCTTTATGAGGATTTTGTATATTGAAACTTTCTACTCGCATTATTTTATATTTTGAGAAATATTTA